GGGAGGGAGGGAGCAGCTCCCTGCCGGGGAGATGGGTGCTGTTTGTGCCACCCAGGGCAACTCACCGAGTTTTGCTGCTGCCTTCGCTGCTGCCGCCTGTGCTCCGACACCTGCGGAGGGACAGGGACACTGGGGCACTGAGGCACTGAGGCCAGTCCCACCTCAGCTCCCCCACCCCACAGGGACCCCGGGCACTCCTGTGGGAGGTGTCCCTGCAGTCCCCAGACAGCCGGACAGGGGCCAGCAAGGTGGCAGGGTCCCCTGTCATGCCCGTCCAGTCCCCACCCTGGGGCCGTGGGGTCCCCGTGTACCTGTCCCGGTGGGGTATCCTGCCTTCCCTGCCAGGAGCCCGGCTCCTATCCCGCCGGGCCTGAGGCCTGCAATCACAACACAGGGCACAGCCAGGTCAGGCACCGGCCGGGGGGAGGACACGAGACAGACGGAGGGATCCCCTGGATCTCCTTCCCCTGGCGCCAGAGGATGCGCGGGGATGCCAAAGGCAGCTCCTCCCCACTCGAGATCCCAGTTCAAACATCCCTGTCCGGAGCTGGAGTGGCTCAGGGTGTATCCTGTGGATTAACAGCTCCCAGGGATGCCGGGAGGGCTGAGTTCCCAGGCTGGTCCACAGCCACCACGGGCACGGCACGAGGTGCCCAAGGGAGCACCTCACCCTGGGAGCAGGATATCCCTCACACCACCCTGAGGGTCGGTGGCTATGGGGTGACAGTGGCAGCCAGTGGAGCCACAAGGAGTGGGGACACGAGCACTCAGCACAGGGCAGCTTACCATTGGTGTAGGGCAGTCCATAGCCACCTGGGGATGAGAGGAGAGAAGGAGGGGTTAGCACCTGGCTGCTGCTGGCCCTGTCCCCTCTGCCCCACGGCGTGGCCCCGCTCTGCCAGGGCTGTGCCCCAGCCCAGGGGCTCCGTCCATCGTGACAGTGAATCCTCCAGGATACAAACCCCTGCGGTGGAGCTGGGCCAGGAGGTGCTGCTCTCCCTCACCTTGGAAGCGGTGACTGAAAGAGCCACCCCCTCTGAGCCCTGGCCGAGGGCTGTGGCGCCTGAAGCTGGGTCTGCAGGAGCCTCCCCAGAGCCCGTTCCAGAGGGGTCCCTCGGGAGCTCCACGGCAAGAGCTGTACCCAGCCCACTGCACCCTGGCCAGCTCCAAAGGAAAGGTTTTAATTGGAATCAGGGCTTGGGAGCCTGGGCTGAATCACAACCTCATTAGGAGGTCAGTGCGAAGGGATGGGGAGGGATTATGAGCTGGAACATCACGGCCAGGGAAATGTCTCCTTTGGAAAGAGCCGGATCCCAGCGCTGGGAATGGCGCAGGGATGCCCCTGGCCCAGCACGGACCGTGGAGCAGCCAGCAGCTCCCAGCTGCCATCACTGCTGCCAGCAGCCCAGGCCATGGGCTGCCACGTTCCGGGGGGACACCTCGAGCTGCAGGCGGCGTGCAGAGCGCCTCCAGCAAGGGGGCCGTGGGCAGGGATGTGGCTGCCTGCAGCCAGGACGCAATTACTCATGGCACAGCATCTCCTCAGCGCTGGACACCATCCCCTCCTGGCAGCCAGCATGTGGGGACCAGATTTCCCTCCATCCTGCCGGGTGTCCCACGGTGTCCCACTGCAGCACACTGGTGCTGGTGAGCAGAGGCTGGTGAGCCTCACCTTGAGGTGTCCCTCGCCTTGAGGTGTCCCTCACCTTGAGGTGTCCCTCACCTTGAGGTGTCCCTTGCCTTGAGGTGTCCCTTGCCTTGAGGTGTCCCTTGCCTTGAGGTGTCCCTCGCCTTGAGGGCCACCCTTTCCCATCCAGGGACACCTTATCAGCACCTTGCTCACCCTAAAGCTGAGAAAGGGGTGACACACATAGAGGTGACTCCAAGGGCCAGAAGTCCAAGCCTGGGGTCTCCAAGGGTTTTGCCGGGCCCAAGTCCAGCTCCCCACCACCAGGATGGGAAGGCAGCCCCTGCCCTGGGGCTGTGCCCATGGGAATGTCAGCAGAGCTGCCGGGGGGCTCAGGCCGAGGCACTGCAAGGGCTCTGCACAGACCGATGTCACCCGAGCACAGCTGGACACTGGGGAGGGGTCCCCATCCCTGCGGCATCAATAGGACCCTGACCTCAGCCTCAGCGAGGTGGATGACCTCAGGGCCACCTCCTGACTGGGGACAGCACAGGAGCAAGTGTGCTGAGATGGCTTTCCACTGAAAACGTTATTTGTCCCATTGTCCCCTCATCCCCTCCCAGCCTGGATCTCCTGCAGTGGGGACAGTGCAGGGGACGCCCCACGTGTGACAGCCCCGGATCCACCTGCAGCACCAAGAGAGGAGCCTCCACAGCCAGCAGCACAGTCTGTCCTTGCACTGCCAGCCCCGAGCCCCCAGAGGTGACAAACTGGCATCCCCCAGCACCCCAGGAAGGTCTGGAGACACCCCCACTGTCCTGGTCCCTATCCTGGGGCTGGGACCCAGTCAGGGCGTGCTGGCAGCAGGGCTGGGTCTCCACAGAGATCATAACTCTGCTCCAGTGCAGGAAACCAGAGCGAGCTGGGGATCCCTGCCACGGGCCCTGCTGGGGCTGGAGCTGGGCTGGGATGTCCTGCCTGGGGGGGCTTCTCCCACCGAGGCTCTCCTGCCTCCAGAAACTTGTTTGGGTGCATGGGGAAATGCCCACAGATCTCCAGTGCACTGCCCAGCTCCCCAGGGATGGGGACCCTGCCCAGATGTGGCTGCCCCCATCCTCAGGATGCACTGAGGTGGCAGCATGGCCCCTGGAGGGCACAGAACCTGCCACTGTCCCTGCCACTGTCTGCCCAGGGACAGGCAGAGCTGGCACCCGGCCCAGGGCTGGCAGGGGAAGGTGTCCAGAGCAGCCCAGGCTGGGAAAGAGGTGCTGAGCTCCCCCAGGCTGACCTGGGCTGGGGCTGAGCCCTGGCCAGGTGGGCAGTGGGGAGGAACACCTGCCTGAAACCCCCAGGTGGCCCCAGCTACAGCTCCTTGAGCCAGGACACCTGGCCCAGGTGAATGCCCAAGCCCAGGAGCCACAGACCGTCCCTGCAAGGGCTGTGCCTTGTGCCAGCAGGGACATCCCAGCGTGGCCTGGTGAGAGCGTGTCCCCAGAACATGTCCCTTCCTACCTTACAACAGCAGGGGCGAGGCACAGCACCGTCCTCATGTCCTGGGGGCAGGAGCGGCTGCAGCAGCCCAGCAGCTGCCCCAGGCAGGGCACAGCAGAGCCCCTGGCTCTGTCCTGCTGGCCCAGGGCCAGCACAGGTCCTGGGGACCTGTGGGCACCGTACCTCAGCCCCGGGGCACGGCGGGTCCTTCTCCTGCCTCTGCTGGGGATCCTGCACCCGCAGTGAGGCCGCTGCTGGCTGTGGAGCTTACCTGGCAGCTTAGGAGCTTTGATGGGATACCCCAGAGGGACACCGGGCTGCTGACCTCCAAAACCTCCCAGTCCTGCAAACCAACAGCAGACTCTCACCTGGAGCCCGCGCCACGGCTGCCACCAGTCCTGGAGGGAGGGGAGCACCCCAGGGCACCCCAGCAGAGCGGAGTGGGGGGCTTGGGAAGCCCTGAGGCATCTTCTGGTGTGGGGAGACCACGGCTGTGAGGAACAGGCTCAGGAAGGAAGAGAAAGACAGGCAAGAGAGACGGGACACTCACCAGGGATTCCTCCAAAGGCTCCAGCTCCTAAAATGAAACACAAAGACAACTGTGTGAGCCCTGGGCTGCTCCTGGAGGCCCAAATTAACCCAAGTGAATTCAGCCTTAGGATGTCCAAGTGTCCTGTAGGGCTGTGATCCCAAAGGATGGGCTGGGGTGCCAAGCTGGAGCCAGCCCTGAACCCACCCCAGAGTTCCAAGAGGATTGAGGGACCTACCTGGGGCTTTAGGCTTGACTCCAGCTCCAGTGGGGACTCCGGGCAGCACCCCTACGCCAGGGAAGCGAACACCTGGAGCACAGACCAGCGGGGTGAGCTGGGGCCTCGGGATGTTACTGGCACCCAAGACCCCCACACCCAGCTTCCAAAGCCCTGTCCCCCATCTCTCGTTGGGACCACCCTGTGCCAGCTGCCTCCACCTGGAGCTGCCAGGAGGGGTTTGCTGCAGGCCTGGAGCTGCCTGTGGAACAGACTGGGAGCTGCAGGGAACACCCAGGAGGGGTTTGGTGACAGCAAAGCTCCAGCCAGGCCTGGCCAGTGCTCCCTGCCCCAGCGATGCTCGGTGGCCTGGGGCCAGACAGGGCTCTCCAGCCCTCAGGGGTGGCAGACAGTGTTTTGGCCTCGCAGTCATTTGGGTTGGATTTTTGGGTTTTGAATTTCCTTTTGGTTTGGGGTTCTTTTTCCCCTCTTACAAATGTCTTTCATTATAACTGGAGCATTTTCAGACATGGAAAAGACATTCCTGACCAGCAACACACTTCGGACAGTGTCGAAACATCTTGTTTTCACAAGTTTTCCTCCCCCAAATTACTTTGCACTGAGGAATTCCTCTCTCCCTCCACCTCCTCCCCTTCCTTCCCACACCGCCAGCCCTGGCAGCTGTGCCAGCTCCTCTGCAGTGCTGGTGCTGTCTACTCCCGCCAGGCTTGGCACGGGATGGAGGTGCCGGGTCCCCCCATGCCTCTGGCACGGTGGAAATGTCACTGGCACCTCAGCCAAGGGGTTTGGAAGCTGCAGGGAGCAGCGGGAGGCAGGGCAGGGTGCTGTCCCCACGGGGAGTGCTGGCATGGGATAGGGACCCCTCGGAGCTGGGGTGCTGCTGGCAGGAGTGGGATCCCCTTCAAAGGTTGGGGTGCTGCTGGCAGGAGTGGGACCCCCTTCAAAGATTGGGGTGCTGCTGGTGGGATCCCCTTGGAGGTTGGGGTGCTGCTGGCAGGATTGGGATCCCCTCGGAGCTGGGGTGCTGCTGGTGGGATCCCCTTCAAACGTTGGGGTGCTGCTGGCAGGAGTGGGATCCCCTTCAAAGGTTGGGGTGCTGCTGGCAGGATTGGGATCCCCTTCAAACGTTGGGGTGCTGCTGGCAGGATTGGGATCCCCTCGGAGGTTGGGGTGCTGCTGGCAGGAGTGGGATCCCCTTCAAAGGTTGGGGTGCTGCTGGTGGGATCCCCTTCAAAGGTTGGGGTGCTGACAGCAGGGTGGGCACCCCCAGCTCACCTGCGCCAGGGAGCACGCCGCCCGGAAAAGCTCCAGGAATCCCAGCACCTGCAGACAAAAGAAATTCAGGGATGAGGGGCCAGGTGGAATCGCTCCCCGCCCCGGCCCTGCCGGGGCCATCACCTACCTGGTATTTTAGGGGGTTTCCCTGCGGCAGCCAGGCCGGGCTGCACCGCGCCCGGCACCACGGCACCTGCGGGCAGCACAGACCCCTGAGCCCTGCCCGGCTCCTGCCCACCCCAGGGACAGCTCTGCCCCCGGCTTGGCTCTGCCGGGAGCGAGGGGCGTTTC